TCATGTTGTAAAGCAACCATAAGAGATTAAATAAATATCTATCTATCTAACTATATTGACGAATCTTATACCCTCAAACCTATTTTAGAAATTGTATTGACGTGTCTGAAAACTGTGTGTTTCTTGAGACTAAATAAAATTATTATCATCATTAAACCTATTTTAGAAATTGTATTGACGTGTCTATAAACTGTGTTTCTCGAGACTAATAAAATTATCATTTTTATAAACAAAGTACTTACACGAATATCCTCCTACAAAGAAAATAGTACTTCCTTCCGTGACGATCATAACCTAAAGGCTCTTGTCGAGAGAGCTGTCCCTGCTTTTCCGAGTCAAGAACGCAGTCAACCACGCCCGATACCTTGTGCGAGCGACAAATTCCACACTGCCAATCTTCTTCAGGCACATTCACTAAGGGGGGATCCACACACTCCAAGTGGTAGACGGCGGGACAAGTTTCGCAGCACAGCAAATCCCCCAATTTATGACAGACACGACAATGGTCGTCATAGTGCATCGGCACTGAAACAATTGAAAATGAAAACTTAAAACTCCTATTCAAGAAAGAGAAGATGAATTGCTCTTGAATTTTAAATTAAAAAATCGTCAGGTCCATTTGAAATACCTATATTCAAATTTAAAAGAGTTCTTCCTGTAATTATAGCGCCTGTGAAACATTTGATTAATATGTCATTTGCAAGTGCAAATCATTTAAAAACTGGAAAAATTACACCGATTTTCAAAAATGGAACCAACATCAATGAAAAATTACCACCCTGTTACGGTCTCCTGTGGATTTTCTAAACTATTCGAATAAGCTTTTTTTGAACGTCCCTGTTTTATGTTAAGTCAAATGCAGCACGGATTTCGTTTCAAAAAATCAACAAATACAGCATTGTTTTCATTATTAAACAAAAACCTTGAATATGGTAATGGGAGAGAATGCCCAGCTGTGATTCTCTGAGATTTTATCATAAAAAACTTATTTCAAAGTTAGAAATGTATGGCATAAGAGGAGTTTTCCCAGTTGGCTGACTTCATTTCATGAAGATAGAAAACAATTTGTGCCAGTAAAAGTCACCAGAAAAAATTAAATTAATAGAGTAAATTCTGAATGTTTGAACCTAAGTGTGGGTGTGCCACAAGGATCAATAATGGGTCCTCTACTGTTTATACTCTATGTAAATGACATCGAATCAGTAGTTACCAAATGTCATTATGCCGCTTATGTAGATAGCTTTTTGCTAGTTATATTTGCACCAGATACAAAAATAGTACAAAACAATTGTGCCGGATTGCAAATTACTTAAATAACAATGATTTATTATTCAATGCAGACTTAACATAAATAGCAATATCTTTAAAAGGCTACTCAGGATTTTTCTATTGCAAAAAGCATACTACTCTGTGGATGAGTTTCTCCTTGATTTTTAATTTGGATTGCAGCTTATTAACTTTTTTTTATGTATGTTTTATGTTTTACATTGATTTTTTTATCTTTTTTATGTTTGACCTGTTGAACCAGCCACTTTTTAATGATTATGTTATGTTTTTTTCTCGTCTAATGTGATTGTGAAGGAAAACTGATTCAATAAATGTTTGATTGATTGATTGGACAGAAGTTATTCATATTCACAATTGGCAAAACAGAGTGGAAAGCATATACAGTGCATTTCTTTAATGTTCCCCCCTTTTATTTTTTGAACAGGTCAACTCAAAAAATGGATATTTGGGATAATGAATTTAATGCATGAATACTTCATTTTGCCAGTCCGCTCGCCAGATTTGACACCTTTGGACTCTTTTTATAGGTCTTTTTGAAGCAAAAGGTGTTCAAAACTGAACCTGTTTCAATATTGGATATAGGGCAGATAATAATAAATATTTGTAGAGATATTGACGTTACTGTGTCCAAACGAAAATGTTCGGCGTGAACAATCGGATAGGCTATGCGTATGTCAAAAAGTTCAAGGCAACTATTTCGAGCATCGTAGCAGCGTAGAGTTCCGCCATTTTGTAGTAGTTGAAGATATTGATATTATATTCTAGGGTTCACAGGGTTCAATCCTGGGACCACTATTGTTTGTACCTTTAACAAAATTAAGTAACAAGGCATCTAATGAAATAGAAAGGTATAGCCTTGAGAATGGCCTCAGCCTGAATAGAGAAAAAACAATTATGTCCGGTTCTTGCCAAAAAACATGAATCCAAATTATGACCTATACTTAACCTTATCTGGTAAATCTATACAATCTATGGAAACCAAGTTCTTAGGTGTTACTTTGGATACTAAGCTAACATGGGAAGCACACGTAAATACTGTATGTTCGAAACTAAGCACTACATGCTATATAATAAAAAATCTGCGAGGTACTGTATCAGCAGACATCTTGAGGCTATTATATTTTGGGATGGTACAGTCTACTCTACAACATAAATGATCAGTACTCAGAATACGATTCCTCTATAAAAGATTTGGGGGTCATTTTTGACAAACAACTCAAATTTGTAAACCATATAAACCAAGTGAGTGTGAAATCATCCAAAACACTGGGTCTTATTTTACGGCATTGTTCAGGATTTTCCATTGAAGCATTAAAAAGGATTTATTTAGCTCTAGTGGTGTCTAAGTTAGAATATGCATGTATCATTTGGTCTCCATTTTACAATGTGAATGCAATTTGGGAAATTAATTATATAGATTATAATATTTCAATCATTGGATTCACATTGTAAACATTTATTTAAGACTAGTAGATAAGGCAATATGTGAAATTTTATATAGCTTATAATATTTCAACATTAGATTTACCTGACTATTACATAAGGACACATTATAAAATTAATTTAAAAGAAGTAGATAAGGCAAATTGTACTTGTTGTACTAGTCTTAAATTAATTTTACAATGTGAATTTAATAATAGAAATATTATAAGCTATATAATTAATTTCACAAACTGCCTTATCTACTAGTCTTAAATTAATTTTACAATGTGTCCTTATGGACACATAAGGACACATTTTTTTTGGAGTTATTTTTGAAAGATCTCGGAATAGAGTCCCGTTAGAAAAATAAAGGAATTGATATTTCACAATTTCTTTCTCAACAATTTACATGGATTAAAAATTGAAATGCTTAAATAATTATTGAAAATATATTTTTTTCCAATAGCAGATACTAATTTTCCATGAAAATTATTATCTGTTATTCTTTAAAAAAAAATGTTAT